TGTGGTCACAATATGAAGAAAATACCAGCTTTTGAATAACTATATAAGTAACCCCCTGCTATTTTTCCATCCCACCAGCAAAAAAAGAAACTTGTACAAAGCCAAAAGAAATTGTGGTTTTATGCTCTACAAGAGTTGGGAGTAACCAAAAGGGGAAGTGAAATATCACTTTAAAGTGATTAACTCTTATCCTATATTCTGAAGCCATATAACCTAATATGATTATCCAACAAGGGTACTTGTTACACTCGATGACCGAAACAAATTTGCTACAATTTGGTGAAGCCTTACAAGCGTTCATTGAGTTAATAGGATAAAAGTACTTGTTGCAACCACAAGATGAATTCTGTTACACAGGCGAGGACCATCTGGGATGTCTTGGCTCAATAAATAGGTTAACTGCAACACAATTAAGACCATGCTGTTTGCTCAAATTGGCCACCAGTATGACATCACACCTTAGCCCACGTTTGAAATGCTTCACCTTCACTTCACCAGCTGCTCACTAACATTCTAATCCACTCCCAAATAGGACCTGAGTGAGTGAACATCTGCTTAGCAACCTAGCCCTAGCTATAATGAAATGGAGTGTCTTTTCACCAATCAACCTCTACACATCCCAGTTAGGAGAAGAATAGAAAAGAGAGAAAGAAAGATAGATTTCTCCCCTTCTAAGCTCCCAAACTTCTTTTCATTCCTCAGCACACTGTTTGTTGTCTATTGTATTATGTTGGCTTTGGTAGAGGCGCGTGCCAAGCCCTGGCTGCATCCTGAAGCCCGCCCGCCCACCCACCCCACGCTACCCCTAAACAATAGCTCATGCCAAGCGTCAATTGTTTGGCTTTGGTGACTCCTAAGCTCCGGATGAAAGGATGCAAAAAATCATTAAAAGACTGGCGTTAGAGGCGCATGCTGGCCACAAGACCAACTCACAATCTACACAAAATACATAATGATTGCATGGTGTTCCATGCCTTATTAGTGTCTGTAATTTACCTTAATGGAATTTTTTGTTTTTATAAGATCTGCATGATAATTGTTGATAGTGAAGCAAAGGCTGCCGCTGTTTTTTTTGTAACTCAGAAACTGATGCAAGTTGTTCTTACATGGTTTTACCTGGGGATTACTCTTGTACTCCTTAAGGCAAGATTGAGACTGAGAGAGAAATGATAGAGAGGAGGAGAGAGAGAGAGAGAGAGAGAGAGAGAGAGAGAGTGGAAGAGAAAGAGAGAGAAAGAAAAAATAAAGAGGTAGAAAGAGAGAGATGCATTTGTTGAAAGATAGAAAAATGAAGGGAGATAGATGAGAGACAAAATAAGAGAGAGAGAGAGAGAGAGAGAGAGAGAGAGAAGAGAGGGGGGGGGGGGCAAAAGGACAAACAAAAGTTGAGTTGTTTTTCATATTCAGAATTTTGAACTGGTCCCATGCCTGAGGGCATCATAAGAACTGAAAAGAACCTCATTATCACAGCTCAAGAAAGAACCTTAGAACCTGGCCAATGAAGGAAAATCAGAAACCTGCAAAGTGTTTGTGAAAAAGTCAATTGTGCTGAAAATTCAGACATGTCAGATTATCCCAAGTCAGAGAACGAGAGAGAGCAAGGGAGAGGGAAAAAAAAGGCATGAATCAGAGAATTTCCATACAGTAACTTATCTTTTATTTCATAACAAAACATATAGCTGCCTGAAAATACTTATTGGGAGTTGCCTGCAGGGAATAATCACACTTTCAATCACTGACTGGCAAAGTTAGGAAATTGTAAAGTTTCCCTTGTCACTTCATTGAAAACAGAAGTTTTGTCACAAAGTTACAGCTGAGGTTCTGTGTTGTTTTGTAATATGAAAATGGTCAAAGAAAATTCAGAAAGCTGGGCTTGTCCATGAAAGACACAAAGAGTTAAAAGTCTAACAAAGGCATCCTGACCATAGTCTTTTCTTACAACTAAATGGTCAGGTCAAGACATTATTTGAAATGGTCATTGAAACAAATTACTAGGTACTAAATATGGTAATTTAAAAAAATGAAAAAAGAGTCTTTTTGAGGCTGGAAGGGGCAATTAATTTGCAAATTATATTTAATTTCGGCTACGTTAACCCATATTATATAGCACATGAAAATACCCTTCAATGTAATCTTATGCTTTTCGGCAGAAAGTCATTAAAATGGAAAATAATTCAAGATGGATAACCAATTATTATTCCCAATCAGGCGATATATTGTATATGCAAACAATATCCCTCAATATTGCCCCACTCCCGAAGGCTCAAGCCCCAGGCGATTTATTGGATAATCTACCCTCAAGAAAAACTCCCCTAATTTGAGCAATTGTCCTGCGATATTCTTGTTTTAACAATAACTTCACCATAGGCATCCATCTGCCCAGCTCCAGCTAATGACTCCATGTTTGTGTCAGAGGGATATGTGAAAGACACAGAGGGGAGGGAAACCTTTGTGAGTAAGACCATCAACTGAAACCTAAGCAGTGTTAAGAAGGGGTGAGGTGAAAGGATTTGAGAGACTCTGCAAACATAGTTGGGAACAGGCACAGTGGAGCACCCCAATTACCGTGCGATCGACTCTCGTCCAGTAAACATCATTTGCATAAAATCAACAATTGTGTACCGTCGATGCGAAAAAAAGTAAACAAATTTCGAAGACAAATTCTTCATTAATGTGATGAATATCACCAATCAAAGCTACTAAATCGAGTATTGAATAAATTTGCAAGACACTCATGTGTATAAAAAGAGTTATTGATGCACAGAAAATGTGAAATTTAAGGGATAGTTTTGACGAACAAAAACGAAAAAAATGAGATACAAAATCACCGTAAAATTCACCATTTCTTTTAGAGCGAGAAAGAATTGCCTCGTATGAACAGAAAGAAAATTTAATAATCTCAATCCTTGTGAAATATCTCTTTTCATAGTTGCTTGATAGGGTCGCAACAGAGAAAAACATACCCCAATGTCCGAATCTCATCGAACAAAAATAATCCTTCGTTGTCGCAAAATTGTTTGACCAGTCCCATACATTCAAATGTGTGTCATGTCTGAACCTCGCGTGTGCGTTGGCTATACATGTCTTGCCAGCCGACTGCACACGTGCACGCTAATGGCTCAGCTGTTTCGATCTGGCCTGCACCGGGCCTAAGACGCATGCGCAGTACATCGCTGAGATCGATGACGTCATGTTCAATGAGTTCGCTGACTACAACTTTTAAAAATGAAGCCCCATGAAAAAGAACGTTATAACCAAAAAAAATACAGCGGAGAAGCGAAAATTTCGCCCATGTATGGATTCAACCCTAATGAATATTCATACCAAGTCTCTTCTTCGTGCATTGCTTGATAGGGTCAAAAACTTAAAAAGTAGACGTCGTGTTTTTCGAGGGGCGAAGCTCAAAACACATTAATATCTCGAGTTTTATTCCATGGAATTTCGTATTTATTTCAATGACATCAAATTCATAATAATTTTAGTTAGTATGGAAAGTTTCATAGCGATATTGGCAGTAATAAAGGCGCAACGCGAATTTTAAGATTTGACATTCTAGCACACACATGTTCGGATTCACGCAGATGTCCGTTGGTTATTCAAATAGAACGGGCCGCTAATGATATGCAAATTGGGGTGCTCCGCCGTGCCTGGGAAGGAATCTCAAAATCAAACATCATTTTGAATAGTGGAAGACTGAGGTTGGGGACTGTGAAAGATTTTGAAGGATGGAAGTGTACAATGACCTTTGCTCTCCATGCAGATTGCTAGATTTTTACCTTAGTTAATTTATACTTTACTTGCAAATTAACTTTCATCAATAAAAAGTTGATGGTTCCTAACGGGATGTTGAGGAGTATTCCAGAAGAAGAAGATGATTGGTATTGTAACATTTTGATCTTCGAACAGAGCCATCTTTTACTTTAAATTTTAGAGAGCCAATTTTATGAGTCTTTCCATCTCCTCCTTTCATAATTTATGACTTAAAATATATGTTTTGTGTGACTAATTCAAAAATGACAATCCATGCTTGTTTTGTGATAACATTAGATTAATGTTTATAACCCATCCTCGAAAAATAAGCAGAAACAGAAACAAAACTAGACAAACTTAAACCTTTAGTTAAGAAATAAACACTGAACTTTAAGACACTGGGCCACTTTTAAACAGGAATCTTCAGCAACTTGGTGTAATTTCCCCACCTTTTATTTAAAAAGGATATGTACATGTAATTCTCATTCTCATAAAAATTGCAATTTTGATGTATAATCAAACTTTATTAAGCCAAGTTGACGAGGCAAAAACCTGATAACGATCAATATCCAGCAAGAATTGATGAGAAATTTACATGCATGAGTTATCTATTTCAAATTCAATAATTCAATAATCAAGCCTGTTTTGCATAGCATAGGCGAACATTGTAGCGAGTTTGTATTGATTTAAGCCTACTGGTTTCTGTTCTATTTAATGCAGGTCAAGTACATTCAAATGTCAGATTGACAGAGATAACCTCCCATCTTTCAATTGAAATATGAAGTAAATCTACAAATTTAGTCAAACAACAAGAAGATTTGATTTGGGGAAGAGGCAATCATATTCTTGATTATGTAATGAATTCAGAACGTTTATGAACCTGATTCATTAGCTTTGCAAAAAAGTAATTGGTTTGGTATTCATATAAATTAGTTGATACTTGATATATTGTCAAAGTTTTAAAATATTTTTGATGAGAGTGTATTGCTACAACAATGTAAAATACAAGAAAATTATCAAGTCTTTAATCATAGTCCGACTATTATTAATAATTCAAACCAAGAAAGCAAAAAATAAATGAGCTTGGTCTACTTTACATTATATACATTTTGAGAGGGATGTTTCTAAAATATAGTTTCTTTACACTTGAAAACATCATTGTATTGTTGAAAGTTGGTACACCACTGAAAACACTACAATGGAATTGGAAGGAACTTTATGCAAAGTTGAAGAGAAGATGTTTTACTCACCATAATCTGAGTCACAGTAATGCTGCTGAGGATGTTTAGGCAAGCAGGTACAGGCCTGGACAAAGTCAGCCTCCAACAGAAAACAGCTCAGGAGTAAGACCATGAACATCAGCATCATCATCATAGTCCTTCTCAATGCCTGACATAGCATCTCCATCTTCAATCAGACTTGTTGTTTACGAGTGAGAAGAGTCAGCTTGGATGCGGATAATGTAACTCTGGATATGCTCTTCAACGGAGTGTAACTTTAGGCGTGGAATTCCTCTGGCGTAAGACTACACCTGATTGGCATCTCATTCAAGATTTGATGAGAGAGAGAGAAGATCGTGCTACAACCTCCTTAGCTGACGTTTTCAAACCGTACTGAAGGAGGTGGAAGGAAGACAAGTGTTATGATTGTCCAAATGTTGATCCTAAATCCTGCTAACTTGGCTGGAGATGGCTTATTAGGGGATGAATGAAGCCAAAATACAAACAATGCACTGGATTCACTTCAGGATGAAGTCACAGCATGCATTCACCAACAAATAGGCAGGATGTTTGTGGCTGTTTTATAACAAAGTTTGGCTGTTCAGAATAACATGTAGCCTTTTGAGCTCTAAAGTTGTACTCCTGGTAGACTTATAGAGATGTTGACTGTATGAAGTTCAGACTTGCACTGGCTGACTGCTCACAGTCCCTGAAAGCCAAAGTTGTTTTCCTTCATCTACTCCAGCCAGACTATCCCAATGAGAAGAAGAATAGAAGGATGATGGTAGCTTGGCTGAGTTCTGCCAGTCAAGACAATTGATTCGGCCGGCACGCGAGGGCACGTGGGACTTTTGATAGCTCTTTCATGAACAATTCTTCTACCGCAGCTACACTTCAAACAAAAGTCTCGCCAACGCGTGGAAGTAGAGAAAAAAGAGGATAGAATCACTTGAATTGATGCTGCTGCACCCCCCTGAAACAAGTTGTGGTACAGAGTGAGCCAGAGAGAAAGAGAGAGAGATAGAGAGAGAGAGAGAATATAATGCTAGTACTTAGCACAAGAGCCAACCTGGTAAATAAGCACCCCGCTCCCAAAGTATGTGCTCTATACCAACCCCCATGCACACATGAGAACAAAAGAAGTCGCGTGGCTGCAAGAGCGAAGGGCACGCACTCATGCACCCATGCGATCAGACCCGGGCCTCAGCACAATGAACTTCCAGTCTCGCTTGGTTGGCTGGCTGGCTGGCTGGCTGGCTGGCTGGCTTGTGCTGTGGTAGTAGTCCATTAAACATTAAACCTTGCTGCTACTGCTACTATACCATGGTCTTTAGTATGCATTATCGATGCAGGGGGTGTATACATGCATATTTAGTAGAGTTTTAATAGGCTTTGGGCACGCGCCTATAGCACCTGGTGCTGGTCTTTGTTTACTCACGCACTCATGCCTGCCTGCTCAACCAAATAGACCCCCCCCCCTCCCTTCTCTCTTTATCGTTTTATGTCCACATAGACCCCATAAATGGAGATAACATAGGAGATGAAACCAAGCAGATAGGGACCCTTTGAGGGAGATGCATAACTATAGTGTTGTGGCTGCAGGTGCAGGTTTCGATCTGTGATGAACTATTTTTCTCTCTTACGGACCAAGTTTGATTCAATTAAACTTGACATGTACTAGTATCTTGTCCTGTCCTTACAAATAATTATCATTATGATTAAATTACATTTATGGAAGGGTAATGGAGGTTGGGAAGAAATGACAGCTAGGAGAGTGGAGGTAGCACAAATATCTGTTTAAATGATAAAAAGAAGTGTATCAGAAAGTAAGAAATTATTCAGAAATACCCTTTTCCACTTGTTTAATATGGAACTAAGTTGAAGTTATTAACATTTGTTAACTCTACCAAAATATACTATTCTTGATTTCTTTGAATATAAAGTAAGGAAGGCAGTAGTAAAAACCCATTGCAATTTAAAAGAAAAATAGTCCCCTTTTCAGAAGATTAATATGTTATTTTGGTAAATTGTTATTAATTTGTTAGAAAATCATGTTTCTTATCTCTACTTAGGAATTCTGTTTCTCTTTCATCTTCATTTGCCATCATTAGATTAATTTCATTTTCATTCCTTTCCCTTTGTGCATTTTTTGACATTGTTATTTAATCATCTCTCTAGTTCTTTTTATTATTGGGCTATTGTCATTATCTCCATATATTGTGAATTATGTTTAATTAATCATTCTGTTACGTATTATCCTTCATTTTCTGTTAGTCTATTTGTATCTAAATATTTTGTCTATCCCTTTTCTTCCAACATCCCCGCATCTCCTCTTGCTCTCTATCTTTCCCTCCCCCTCTCCCCCCCCCCCTCTCTCTCTCTCTCTCTCTCTCTCTCACTCTCTCCCTCTCTCTCTCTCCCTCTCTCTCCCTTTCTCCCCCTTTCCCTCCCTTTCCCCGTTCACCCTTTCTCTGTATTCCAATTCTCTTGCACTCTTTCTCTTACTCATCCCTCTCCCCTCTCTCTCTCTCTCTCTCTCTCTCTCCCCCTCCCTCCTCTCTCTCTGTCATTCTCTCTCTCTGTCTCTCTGTCTCTCCCTCCCTCCTCTCTCTCTGTCATTCTCTCTCTCTGTCTCTCTGTCTCTCCCTCCCTCCTCTCTCTCTGTCATTCTCTCTCTCTGTCTCTCTGTCTCTCCCTCCCTCCTCTCTCTCTGTCATTCTCTCTCTCTCTCTCTCTCTCTCTTGCTTAATATCTTTCCTTTTTATCTCTATTTCTCTCCCTTCTGTTTTGCTCTCTCCTTCAGCGATGTGTTGAAACAATTTTTTGGCATTTATTTGTAATAATTTTCAGCTCATTTTAGCTAACATATTATCAACATTATTTAATTATGTACCATACCATTCCCTTCCTTTTCTCTCTGTATGTCTGCATCACTGTGTCCCCCCCCCCCCTTGCCCCCCCCCCCCCTCTCTCTCTCTCTCTCTCTACACCTCTATCCAGATCTTTAGACCTACTGTAGATATGAACTCATTAGCCTTCATTGCTAGACCTATTGAATAAACATTCTTATCTCCAGCTGTGAAATCTTCCCTGCTTATCTGCTTATCATTGGGTTTACTGGCTTAGCTTCATTTCAACTTGAGTCTACTTAGCAATTGATCTCTCTTATTATAACTGTGGCTGTTTAGCAAACAATGCTCTATGCTAGACACAATAGGAATTAAAAGTAGAGTGAGCCATTTGCAAGCTAATCAAATCCAAATGTATATATCTTAACATTTGAGTACATAATATTATGATGAGATAGAATTTGTCATTTTACTGGTATTTAGCTTGAGGTACGCCAGTTTTGGGATTGTGCTGATTTATAATCTATCAAATTCTTAAAGTCTGTACACTATCACAACATCCCCTCTTTAGCACTATATTAGGGCAGCTGTAGCAGTATGGTCAATTTTAACTCAATGTCAACATTGTAGTTATGGTTATGGTTCTATAACTTTGAAAGAAAGAAACTCATGTATACTCTAAAGATGTATCAAAGAACATTTACTTTAATTTATTATTCTGAAAGCAAGCAAGACATTGACTAAAATGAATAAAACAAAAATAGACACATCAGTTATTCATTTGCAAACCTTCAGTAATCTTTCTTCTGTAGTCTATTGAAAGCCTGCAATTCTAGAGATGGAAGACAATTGGGAGATGTCCACTGGAGCTTATTAGAAATACATATTCACCTTCAAGTGTTTTCATTGATGTACCAACCAGATTTAAATTACTTTATTCTGCCAGCTTAAAATCGAATAGCAAATTAATATATTGTAGTAAAAATAAATGTAGGAGCAAAGGGAAGAGTAGCAGAGAAGCGGTTGTAGAAGAGGAAGGATGGTAATTGGAAGAAGTATGAGTCCTCATCATAGTAGTAGTAGTAGAAGCAGTAGCAGTAGCAGTTGTAGTAGAGGTAATAGCACTATTGATGGTATAAGTAGTAGAAATAACGCGAGTTCATATAAAGAATGCAGGAGAAGCGACATGATTGAGGAACAACAAAAAACAAAAACAAAAGGATGCATTTTTTTTCTCACAAAGAGTGATATTATATAGAGGTAGGTATGAAGAAATGTTAGTATGATTTATACAAGATGAACCTTCAGCAAAACCATTTTGAGGAATTTTAGAATATAAGCATCAATTATTGTCTTTTATCAGCAGAACGAAGGTTATAGATATTTATCCTAACATTATATACAATTACACATGATACAAACAAGCACTGGTTTGTCAAAATATTGGTTATTCATCTGAAATATATGAATTACTATTAACATCACAAATGATTTAAAATATTTACATGTGCTACCTTTCATATAGTGCTCTTCAACCTCACTTGTATCATTTTTCTTTTCTCACTCTCAATCTTTTATAAATCGGTGACGGAACAAAGTTATAGTTATGGAAGACAAAAGATGATAATGTAGACTAATTATAAGTAATAGATTAACAAAACACACTGAATTTGTTCAAAGAATATTAAATAAACATACCGAGGGAATTAAGTCAGCAATATTTACAAAAAATAGAAGACTTGCAGAAAAAAATCGAACAAAAAAAGTCAAGTACTAGATGCAGACCAACCAAAATCCAATTCAATTTGGCTGGTTTTTATGAAATGGCCTCAGCTTAAAGCTACTAATTTTGATAGGGAGTGGAAATCAATGCTGCTCTTTCAATGAATATAATAAGAATTAATTTTGTAATTTGGTATCTATGACTTTAAAGTCATACATACCATGATAACATTTTCAGTAATTTCAAAGAAATTCCTTGATTTTCATCATCTATATAATCATTTTGTAAAACCAGCAAGATATTGCTTTACAATTAATCCTCATCTAGAATCTTGTTTTTGTGGACCTTGTTTAGAAAATAGGGATTTAACAGTATACAATATATCTACATAATTATACCTTTATACACTATTTGAATAATGACCCTTAAAAGTTCTTAAACATTAGTTAAAAGACTATTTGTCAAGTTCAAACATATCAATATGCCTGCATCTTTGCATTTTTTGAAGTTTTTAGAAATTGTCATGATCCTATATTTTGCACATGTTTTGCGTATTTGTGCGGAGACCGAGGGCAATAAATAAGAATTTTAAAACAGGATAGAATGATGTCAAATATCCTTAGGATATCAATACAGAAAATGGATTTTATTTCATGTTGAAACAAAAGTTTATCTTGAGATATGTGATGTGGCAATTTCTTTCTGAAGGTAAACACTTTTACATTGTAGAATAGCAGTAAGAATTATTGATGCAATATAAACTTAATTTAAACGGACAAATTATGAATGCATGGATAAGCTCTACTAAATATTACATTGAGCTGAATATTTCATCAAATCTAATGAACTTTTTTGTTTGTTTTGCTTGTTCTTCTTAAAGTCTGTACAAATTAAATTAAATCAATAAAATATCAAATAACAATTACTTATGAAATCTATACATTAAAATCTAATAATACCTTTACACAAAATATACAGTACCTTTAATGATTAAAATAACTAATCGCATTCCAATGATTCCCTGTAAATGTGGTCTTGAAGATGTAAATACGATGTCAAGTTTTTTCAGTTTATCTGTTTCGAGGCAAAGGGTGTTAACGCTGAATATTCTTAAGTATAAGAGTTAACATCCTTCTAGCTCCACACAGACCATTTATCCATTTCCTTTTTTTTTTAAATCATTTAAAATTGTTTGATTTCATCTTTTACTAAATGTTTGTCTCCTGGTGGCCCTCCTTCTTTCTTGTTTAGAAATAAAGTGGGTATTTTGAATGTTTGGTAATTATTCAGAAAATAATAGATTAGTTTGATAGATTATGGATGATGTCAAACACTGAAGTCTTCAAAGGAGAGTGTCCATGATTAGTAAGTTATGTACATTGTACACAAAGAGCACTTCACTCCAACAGGAAGAAGAGAATCAGGCATGATGGGTAAAGGGAGGACACCCTCTGTTGGTGGCTCATGGCATGAAGCCTCCTCGGCTCTGTGCCCTTCCCTTAGCTCGTCTGCGGATGCACCGGCGCATGTCCGTCTTTCCGTTCCAGAAGCACTGTCCGCTACCGTCTCTGGAGCAGTAGGCATATTGGCTCTCACAGTCATCCCTCAAGTGAGAGAGGTCCCACATGCAGACATCAGGCACGGGTTCCGTTGGGCAGTAGCGCCCGTAGCAGGGGGAGATCTGACCAAAGAAACAAAATGAATATCATAAGAAGGCATTTCAATGATGAGATGAAGATTAGAAGTCAAAATATATGTATCTCAAACTTGGTAAATCAATTTGAGTCATTGATTTAATTCTTTACTTTAAAAAACAGACAAATAGAGTAATGATGGATTGGTGCACTATTCAGCAAGGTAGTCACAAGACGTTGTTGCATGCTATTTTTTGAGGGACTTGACCAGTTACAACTTTGCTTGCCTCAATCTTGACATTAATAATGCTTTGCAAGGTCAACCTTGGCAAGCATGACATTAATTAACTTGTCTTTCAGCAAGAATCAATTGCTTGATGAAATTTTTGATGTAGCAACCTGTTTCAAGCATATCTAAGAAATCTCCCTGTAGGAGATGAATGAATAAAGAAGGAGAGGGGAGGGGGCTAAGAGGATCTGGCAACAAATGTGGTGAAGAAGATATCATTTCTTGAGGGCCAGAAGGCATTAACTCCTATAGTTCAACAGAAAACTAACGCCCTTCTAGGGATGATGCCATGTCAAAGATTTTGTCAAAGATTTATCAAAGATTAATAAAAAATGTCTATTTCAGTCAGCTGAATGTATCTTTCATTTCCTTCTCACCCCCCACCCACCGCATGACATCTTGATGATCTAAGATGAGAGATAGGGTTTCAGAGTAGACTCCCTCAGGATTCAGGTCAGGATATAATTAGTGTATCATTAATAATGACTTCCTTAAGATCAAGTCTCTGGACAACCTGTCCTTGACACAGAGTTCTATGACATCTCTACCTACCAAAGATAGCCCACATAGGATCAAGACCATCATTTGATGTGCCATATTTAGCTACCTGTACTTATTCCTTTTAGAGGCCTTTACGCCAAGCTGATCTTACCGAGTCAAATTTTCATGAAAATTCTGAAGGTCCTTACAAAGGAATTACTCATCAATGTATTCTAAGATGATTTGGGTCATTTGAAAAGGAGAATTTAGAGATCCAGAAATGATGTATTTAGTTGATTTTGTTTCCCTTTTTGTTCCCTTCTGAATGGTATTTGTTTACTGTTTCAAACTGTATAACATTCTCAAAATATCAACAACTTGGTTCAATTTCAAATACCTCATAAGATTATGTGTCACCGATATTTTTGAATATTTATTTCCTTACAGTGTGCTCTATTAAGTATTTGCTTTCATCATGGTACCATAATCTGTTTCAAGAGAAGGAGAGCTATGGTGAATGAGTGGCAGTAATGCCTTCTCAGTTGATAGAGTGGGTTAGATCAATGAGGGCCACTCAGAGAGAGGACATACTCCCTCTTGTGGTGGAGGCAGTACATTGTGGTTTCTTTCATTCTAACACAAAGAGGCGTGTAGTAAAATAATTCATGGAAACTGTCAGCCAAAATTGAAAGTTTTGTTGATATTTATGTATTGTTATGATACTCAAACCAGCATGTGGAAAAGTCATATAACTCATGATATAATGTTGAATAATGTGAAATGAATGTGTCAGCAATTATTTCCTATATGATAAAGATAGTGGGGATGATGATGATGAATAATGTGATGAATATGGTGATGATTGATATGCCGCCATGAAGATCATAATGATGGTTAAATGTGATAGAGATGGTGGTACATTTAATGAACCAAGAAAATAGTGACATGTGTAATAATTTATCAGAATTGATTGAATGGTCAAATTAATGAAGAATAGACCTTGGAATTAACAATGAAAATTGGGATTTAGAATTGAAAGGAATAGTACTTACTTCACATTTTCCACACTGTAATTTGTAGGTATGTTTGATGCCTTGTCTTTGTCTCTTAGTGATGTTCTTGTACCCCTCCTTCCAGTTACAAGATGAAATCCTCAGCTCAGCATTGTAAAATGTTCCTGTAATGAGTTATAGAAAGAAATAAGGGTAATAGTGGTTCAATTGAATATTCATAATAATGTGATTGTCCTAAAGAAATTAGAGTGAACACTGTTGTAAAACTAAACTTTTTTACACATTGTTGAGGATGCTGGCCATCTTCACGATAAGTTTTGTCAATTGGATTCAATTATTTCAAGGCATGAATCTTTTGGAAATCTGAACTTCTTGGATATTCTTGAACATTTCATGCATATGGAAGTCTCTGGTTATACAGTATCATTTAGCATCAAACAATTATTCCATCTTATTGTCTGCTGGGAGCCAGAAAGGTATTCATTCATATCGTTTTGCTTGGAGTTAATGCACTCTTTCCTTTCAGCAGATGATATCTATCCACATTCATATTCTACTTTTTGTGTAGCCGGGCTTGATCAGACCAGCTGACATTTTGAGGGTTATTATTTTTAGGTAACGGAGGATCTGGAGTTTTCTGGCTCCGTGCCTGAAGAGTGTGTCCCAGTGCATGACGCAAGTTGCGCTTTACGGCCAGGTATGCCAATGGCCGACGCCCTTTCTAGTAAAGGTGAATCGAACTTGTAATATGCGAAACTAACAGCATAGAAGGCATTTCATGAAAGTCATCAATTGTCAATTGCAATAGAGTGTATTGACATCAACATTCAAGGTATTCATGGGAACATGGTATATTCATTATTCCCTGATGTCAATAGATACTGTTTATATGATAATTTCCTGTTTCTATAGGTTTAAATCAATTGTCAATATGCATTGATAATTAAAATGTTGGTAAATGAACTCTCAGTTCTTTGTTATCCGATCATATTTTCTGGAGGCAAAATAACAAAGTGTAGACAGGATTCATGAGAAGATACTTTTTATAAGTGTTTGCAACCACCTAAAGTTTAGTTAAGTTTTATAACAAAATAAGGTGCTTCATTAAATGTGATTGCTTCTTTAAAATAAGATACTTTTTTACTATTAAATATAATTGAGATTGATAAGATTGATATCCAGACTAGACCAACATAGTCCCAGTGCTCAGGGTTGGTTTGACTGAATCTTCAGACTTTAATCTACTATTTCATAATGGGATCGGTATGCACCTTGTACATATGTGGAGAGGCAGAAGGGCATTAAGCCTAATTAAATGAACTTAATACCCTCTGGCTCTCAGCAGACAGTGTCCTTTCTCTACTTATAGAGGTTGGATGTCATTAATTCTCATCTATGGTATAATACGCCTCGTCATTGTCCGATGTTATCTGTTCCATGGATTCTGCCATTGGTTTGAACTTTGATGAAGGTCTTGTACCCATGTTTCTTGAGGTGGTTCAATCTCGGGTCGCTCTTCCTCCTCCATGTGCACCTCTTTGCTTAACAACTAACCTGTTTAAGTTTTAAAGGTTGCTGTTCGATCTTATCAGCTGAGATTTGTATTCATTTATTGGTAGAATTTGTGGAGATTGATTGATTTCAACATGAATTTGATGTTGTTTTTTTTTCTTGTTGAAATTTAACAATCTTCTTATAGTGCAATTGTTATATACACAAGGCCTATCCAACCCCTTGCCCCTATGGAGAGAAGGGTAAGGGATGTTTTGAGCAAATGTTTATATACTGATGAAAATTGCAGTAGATTTATAAATGTTTGTTCTTTCTTCAGTATTAGGAGGCATGATGGCTCAGTAGTAGTGCAGTGATCATGTAACTAAAGGTCCGGAGTTTGTATACTATGATTATCATAGTATACAAGTATTTATGTCTAGGTTTCTTATTATCTTTCAGACATATAATTTATCTTACAAGTATCAGAAAAAACCTTTAATTTTCTTCCTTTCCTTTATTGGGGGGGGGGGGGGGGGTATTCATAAGAGCTGCACACCTGACAAGCATTCATTTCAAATTCCATTTCTTCTCTCCGTTCTCTTGATAGTCTATCAGCAAATGTCAGAATGACAAATTGGCAGACCATGATGGGCAATCTCTCTCTCTCTCTCTCTCTCTCTCTCTCTCTCTATCTCTCTCTCTTTCTCTCTCTCTCTCTCTCTCTTTCTCTCTCTTGGCTGAGATCTTTTGAGAGGTGTAACCATCTGTTTATGATATGAATATGATCCAATCAAGAACAGCTGGCCATGATGATGAAATGACCATCCCTCCTGCTTGAGATAGTGTTCAATGTGGAGGGATGAGGGGGGAGAGGGGGGGGGGGGGGGGGGGTTGGAGGGGGAAGGGGAAAGGGGGAAAAGAGAGGGGAGAAAGAGGGGAGGACAGTCAGAGAAGTAGATGGAGAATGACAGAAAATATGATACAGGGGAGAATAATTAAAGGAAATGTAGGTAGGTCAGGAGAATTAGAATGGGGGTTTGGAGGGGAAATCAGGGACCCAGAGTTTTTTCCTTGTTTCCCCATTTTCTTTAGAAAGTTGAAAACAAAAATATATAAATATTTTAAACCTTATAAGTATTCATGAACCTTTTAAGAAATCTCTTTGCCTCTGAAATCATCTTCATATTCTTTCAAACATGAAATGAAACTTGATATTAAATTCATAGTCAAATGCAAATTCCATATCAAATATTTAATCTCAAATATGCTGAGGTCACTAATGTTATTTCTTCAACTCTTCTGCATTTTCTTTAGTGAAACATTTCGGGTAAAAACATTCTTGATTTATCGGGCATCAGATTCTGTATCAAGCAAAGGTGACACCACAAGAGAGGAAATTTATGAGACATTGTGATTAGGAGGGTGCAGCTGGTTAACGAATAGGCTGGTGTCACATTATTCTATATGATAGCAGGCCTCCCGTTAAAGGTACATATCAATTGTTATGGGTGTAGTTGTTTTGTGCATTACCTTGACTCAGAAAGTAAAACACAGCAAACAAATATACTTGAAATTACTAAGAAAGATGATTAAAATTTAATGCAGGAAAAGATAATGTTTCTTTTCAATTTCAATCAGAATATAATCTGCACCATGCTATAGATCACCCTGAATCCTAGATATCATCATGACTGCATGAGTAATTTCAAAGCATTTCCATACCACCTTGCTTTCCCATAAACTTTTAGACAGAATTTTATAAATCTTTTTATTGAACAAAACATGTGTAGTCATTGCAATCATATTTCAGCAGTAGACTGTTTAATCACCTGCTTAGGTCTACAGTAGATGGTCATCAGGTTTTTTTTCTGGAATTGAACATTAAATCACTCCTCTCCAACGATCATTGCTTTGCTAGAGGATAAAAAGGAAGTGTTTTATTTGATGATGTTTTCAACCAAATCTCCTACTTAGTACTTAGTGATGATGTTTCCATGTAAAAGGACTGATAAAAACCCTATCCTGTCTAGCCAGTGTCCAGCCATGGTCCAGCCATGCTTGTGTTGTCTCAGAAATACTGTTCCCTTTCTCAAAATAATAGTTCAGCACTTATATGGAGAGTATGTATGGTCGGTGCAACAGTAGTTGGAATATTTCAGTCCTTCCATTAGTTCCAAACCTGTACATTTTGCATGTGTATTACCTTATTCACCTTTTGTGCCCCAATGTGCAAAATTTTGATTGACACTGCTCTGTTTTATTCATAAAATATCTTTCATTGATAGAAATTGTATGATTAAGTTAAACTTATCATGTTTCTGCAAGAAAAGATATGCACCCTCTAAGTCCAAACACTGTTCAACTTTCAAGCTCTTTGAAGGGATTTGCAACCCATTGCATAAAGAGATTTCTTCTGTAAGAAAACTTTAGAATGTAGCTCCATAAATTCCCTCAGACACTTCACTTTTATCAAAATCATAGTTTCATTAAATTCAGATGAGAATTTCATCCTACGCTAAGGAATTAATTAGATATCATTGGACAGACATCCACCTTTTTTTGGCGCAACTTCACTATCGGGACAGATATGTCCACACCAACCACAAGAAGGTCAAACGAAGGAAGTTTCTACGCTTCTCTGACCGGCGGTCGCCAATGAAGTAGGACACTGAGCATGATGGGTAGATGACGGATTAGGAATCTTATTTAAAAGAATATCCCCGGTCAGATGATTGATAAAGGAAGAACCGTGTACCAGCTAGCTAGAAATGTTCATGTCTTTTCAACATGTCTTACTCAACCTTTAGCCGGGGGAAGAGACATGCAAGGATAAGGTGCAGGTAAAAGGGTCAGTGGAGTTCCAAACTGACCTCAGATGCACTTGTCATCTTACAGAACTGAGAGTGATTTAAACGTCAGAGAGTTTGGTAGCAAGTTATGGCCTACTTTGATTTGTTCTACTTTTTTATTTATAGTTTCAACTTAAAAATAATGAAAAATATATGACAGTATTTGCAACAGGAGAGGTTATTGTGGAAACAGTAACACCAGCACCATACCACTGCTATCACTATTCTACTGCTCCCGGTTATTTGCTATGGAAGTATTTACTGTGGTTTTACCGGAAATGCTTTGAATACCAATACCACTTCTATTACTACCCCTATTTGTAATAACAGTAATGGCTCTAATGTCTGAATGATAATATTTGACATACTTGGTATGATTTGATTGCTGCATGACATCCTTTTTTTAATAGTCTCTAGTCTGAGTTATTTTGGTCTTTATTTACCATGCTATCTGTTAAATGGCCAAACTATTTGGTAAAGATTGATGAGAAAATTAAAAAGTAGAAGAAAAAAAATAACATATCTTGCTGAGGGACAGTAGCACAGCATAGAAGAGAGAGAGAGAGAGAGAGAGATAGCGAGAGAGATAGAGATAGAAAGAGAAAGACAGACAGACAAACAGAGAGAGAGAGAGAGAGAGACAGGGAGAGAGAGACTGAGAGTAGGAGAGAAAAATAAAAGCAAAAAAAATATGGGGAGAGAGAAAGAGAGATTGACAAAAGGAGAGAAGAGAGAAAGAGAGATTGACAAAAGGAGAGAGGAGAGAAAGAGAGAGAGAAAGACAGAAAGAGATGGACGTAGTAAGGGTTCATGCACTTTCAGACCGATACACCATCGTCATCTGCAAATGCCATATTTACATTTCAGAAATGCATACGGTCTGACTGTACTGGTATGTGCCCCTCAGCCATGCGCATCACTCTAACCATACTCTATGTGTTACGTTGTACTTCATTAATACCAGATTAAAGGAAGGCGCATGATGTTGATCTTCTGCACTGAAATTTGAACTTTATAAATGTTTGTGTATTCAATGATGGTACATATCTCATATTAAACCACTTCATTTTTTAAATGGAGAGGGGAGTTTGCGGAGAACCGAGTTTGCGGAGAACCATTTCCATGATTTCACTACCCAATCCTTTGTTCTCTTAACTAATCTAATCGAGCCAATGGTGTCCATTCCATATCTAAATTAGGGGTTTGAACTTAATTTGCTTTCACCAGGAATCACATAGAGTTTATACATTCATGTATCAACATTCTTTGAATTTCCTGCTTAGATGCATGTCTTAATAATCATGGAGATTAAAATATCATTGCACCTCCCACTGATTCCACCTCCCTCTTACCCCCACTCCTATTCCGACACCACTGGTGTCACTGTACATCTCATGTGGTCCACCAATCCTTCCATCACCATCCCCACCCCCAACCCTTCCCCGTTCTCCCCCTCCCTTCCCCACTCTCCCCCTCCCCACCAACCCCCACTCCAAAATAGACTTGGACGTAACACCTCAGAAAGTTGGTCTTGCTTAACTAGGTTTAAATGTCAGGGACATGCCAGTGAAGAGCCCCCATCCATCATCTCAGGGATAACTGGTCTGGACTCAACATCACCATCACCCCAGCCCAGCTCATATAGGCTGTATGCCAGCTCCAAGCTAGCCTTGCTTGGCAGCGGGAAAAGCAATGACCAAGAACAATAGAATTCTTACCCCACTTTTTCCGGTGTATATTTAGTGCCGGGTTTTAAAGCATAAGGTGTTACTGGAATGGGTGTCAATGATCTCTCTATGCATGAACTCAGCTTGTGCAGAGGCCCACAACTTTTTTTGATGTAGGATGAGAGTGAGTAGGAGTTGCAAGGTTTGATTAAAGAGTTAAGCCGATTTGACTTTGTCACTCTATTTGATTTGATTTTCAGTTGCTTCAAACATCTTGATTAAATAATAATGTTCCGTAAAACGGTCATACTAAAACAGATGGAACTTATAAGAAGTTGATTCAAGGATATATTGATGTTGTAAACCCTATGGCAACTCTCCATTACTGTTTTGACTGAGCTGAGAAACAAACTCATTTTTAGATTGAATTTGATTTGATTTGATTATTTTTTTAAATCAAAGAAAGACAAAACGATTAGGCCTATAAAACTTTTTAAACCATTTGTCATGAAGCCAAACACAAAAATCACATTTTCAATGTTTGTAATGAACCGACAATTTGATATCTTATGTAGATATGAGCTCATTAACGAAACATACCTGCTAGAACATAGACCTGTCCCACTTCTAAGTCAGTGACTCCGCACGCTGCATCAATGGCTGCTGTGGCGATCTTGGCGGTAGACTTAGGCATCAAGAGATCATCTCCCTTATAGATCTTCTCAACCTTGACGGTATATTCCAGTTTGATTGGGCGGTTCTCCTCCATGTACTGAGGTGCCTGAAGACCAGCGGGTACCCTCACCTAAGAAAATGGGTTTTTAGTAGAAATAAGGGATTATTATGAGACAAACAAATTCTTGACGTCAAGAAGTACTTTCTCTTATTGAAGTATTGATTTGCAAAATTGTAAGATTAGTCAATGTACGGTATTGCCCAAGGGTGTACAAATGGGTATTATTTTGGGATTAAGAGAAGCTACTTTCTTTTGAATCTTCATAACCTAGACATACCAACAAACTGACACCAGACCAAATGAAAAGGTAACATTACCCCTAATGATTCGGAGTCAATTTGGAGTTGGTTTGGTGCTGTGAATAAAGGTATCATTGACCGAAGTGTAACCTACCAATTCTCAGAAAATAGTGTTCAGGCTTGTATGTAACATTGTTTGCAAGGTAAGGCTATTTCTCAAAAGTCAAAACCAAAAACAACTCCCTCAGAACCCAAATAAAAACAAGAAATTCTAAGACAATCTGGGGAATGCTGGCGGTGTTTACCTGAGGTAATCTTGGCATAGCAGCAAGATTCATTGAAGCAGCCAATAATCCTTCACTCTGGTCCATGATCGGTCCCTCGTTATCTATACCCCAGTCAGAATCTGAGAATGAGACTTCACTGAATGAGGAGGACTCTGCCATTGGCTCAGGTTGTGGCTCTGGATATATCAGCTCCTTTGTTGTAACTCTTGCTCTGATCACTGTAAGATAATAGAAAAATAGATGCTTCATGAAAATCTTGAAATTTAAATGTGAAATTCAAATTTCACAGTGATAAACTAGATATATAGTGAATGTTAAGATTAAGGTCCTGAGTAAATCAGCTCCTTAATAGTTTGTGGTAACTCTCGCTCTGACCACTGTAAAACAATGAAGAAAAGAGTTGCTCCATTAAAATATATAGTATCTAAAAGTAAGATGAAAAAGCAAACGTGTAACATCTATAACAAGATTGATGCATTTAGTAATGACCTGTTATTGTAACTATAAAATAGTTGAGAAAAGATATACTTTTATCGAAACAAACAATAATAGAGTTTAGATAAAAGTGAAGAGACTCTGAGAAATGTAAATTGAGATATGTTACAATTTAAATAAATAACATATGTTAAAATATAAGTTAAGAACAGAAAATCAAAACGTTTAAACATTTCTTCATTATTACTTAAGAGTCAAGAAGGATAGAGCATTACCGAGGTACTACAGACTTATAGGTTTAGCCAGCTCTCAAGATCGTCAATAAACTCTGAAATTTTATAGAAAGAAGCTTTTGACCTGGAGAGGTATGAGGTCTCGGAAACAGTTGCTGAATACGATGCCTTAAAAAAAAAAACTTTTTGTTATACAAAAGAAAAATGTAACATGGGCTTCATCAAGAGTTTGATGAACTTGCCCCATGAGATGATGTGTTGTGTATAGATATCATCTTTATGACATGATAAATGAGAAGCATGTGGTTTTTATTCTCTCTTTCTCTTTCTCTCTCTCTCTCTCTCTCTCTCTCTCTCTCTATGTCTCTCTCTGTCGTCTTCCTCTTTGTATCAGTATGTGTCTTTCTCTCTCTTTGTCTTAGTGTTTCTCACTATCTCTTTTCCTCTTTGTCTGTCCATCTCTCTTTTTCTTTCCCTGGTGAACTTTACTTCTCTAGAAGAGCAATCTTTATTAGCTTCCTACAGTGTAATTGCAAGACAAAGTAGTGATAAAACAATACAGGAAAAATTGCTCACAAGCTCATATATCTATCAATCCAACATCTTTTAAATATCAACATTGAGCCCTTTTGTGGCTTAATCATCCATTTCAGTCTGTTTCCTTAATGGCCATTCATATGTCACAAATGAAAATTACACTGGTCAGTTTAGAAATCATTTCATATGTTCCTAATAAGGGTTTTATAATTGTTAAGGGAAAATGCCAAATCTGGTTTCCTTGTTTGTGATGATATTGCCCCCATTTTAGTTTGATAAGCCTCAATGAATGTCCACTGACTTCTTCTCAATGATTACTTATTCATTTCAGTGTCATAGGTAGATTAAAATGTCAAAAGTGTGATATTCAATATTTTTGTAGATGAAGAACAGATTTCCTCCTTAAAAAATTTGGAATAGTGTCATGTATTGAAATGATGGATATCATTGCATAATTTTCTGTATCCACAGGAAAAGTGAAAAACTCCTCCCTAGGTTCTTATGAGACATGTTTTGGCCATGACTGCCCCAGGATTGAGTTCTATACTAAACAAACTCCCATACAACCCAGGAGCAGACATTTAACCCAACCCTAGCCCTAAAGCTTTGACACCTAAAACACATTTGCAGCACTATTCTCACCCTTTACATTAAACAAAGTAAAGCCCAAAACAAAATGTCGCTGGAGCAAATGCAACAATTAGGAACCATAAATAATATGATCCCAAAGACTTTAAAACATCAATATACGGCAATTGTCCATCGCATTCTGGGATAAACAGTACAGTGTTTAAAATATGGTCGATGACTCGATTCTCCATGTTTTGATCGTCTAAAATCCTGGCAATTGTGTTGAGTAAAGACTTGTCTCATAAAACTTATTTTGTGCTTGAACTTGGTGGCACTCTTAGGGTTAATGTGCGAATGAGACTTGAAATTATTTTTGTTTTTTTATCATTTTTAGTACTTTACACATGTCAACTCTATAAAGCACCCTGTTCGTTCGCATCGGACATACCAGTGCTTTAGTTGTGGATGCCATGGGCATAATTCACAAATTATATTAGCCCCATTAAAAACTGAACGATCAGGGGAAAAGCTGTCAAAATGTGTATCCTTTGGAAAGTGCTTTGCACCTCTTAAAGGATGTATAGATTACAGAATTAAGCACTGATTCATTTACTATTTCCATGCCTTATTGTTATCAGGACCTTGACTGTGCTGTGAATAGCCAAGACAATTCCTCTTTCAAGTGAGATTCCATCTTTCTAAATCTGACATTCATCATACAAGTTCATTTCTTACTTTTTATGAAGTGTGACAAATCTGTTCTGATGTACTTTACAACAAGACACTTTCACATGCATGATATGCAGTGGAAATTTAATGAGTGATTTAGATTCATGAAAGTTTCATGCCAGAAAATAATCAAATCACAGCTGACACAACTCTAAATTTCTGTGATTTGATAAAAAATTTTGATGCAGAAGTTTCTAGTTTAATAATAATAATAATGATAATGAAAACGTCAAAACAACATCAACAAAACTGGTAATGGTGCTGGTTGTGATGGTGATAGTGATGATGACGATGGTTATGATGATGATGATAATGATAACATGACGTCTTGTTTACCCATTATTACAGGTATTCCCCCTCTCCCTCCACAAGAATTCATTATCTCATTACAGTAATTAATGATGTATGAAACACTAGCTAGGTGCCTTAACATCTATGAAAAGGCCAATTTAACGACAAATGAGACAAAAACAATGGCAAATACTTTTCAATTTCCTTTCATGACGTCAATGGTGACATCAGAACTATAACTCTCCTTCCGCTTGACCAAACTGAGTGATTTAAAGTGATGATTAATTTAAAGACCTGTATTTGTCTCCCTCCCATTAACGCTTTTCCTATTACAATAATTGAATTGCTTTGAAATCACGTTATAAATAGGTCTTCTATTGGAACTGAAATTCAGTGCTATTTTGAGTGGGAGTCTGCATGCTTATAGAAAAGCCTGTTCACATTCTGACAGATTTTTTAAACAACAAAAGAACAACATTAAACCTTTGTTCACACAACAGATACATGAATCAAGACCATAACCCCTTTTAAAAGTTTTGTTAAAACCTTACAAAACTTGTTGTTTTGTGCTAATTTTATTGTGGAGAGTGATAAAGAGAATACCTTTCCAAACTTGCATATGAATATATCTCTGATACATTTTCCCATTGGATGATGCTATATCATATTAGTATGCATTTTCCACAAATTGATTTGAAGATTACCTTTAGAATTTATCTCACTTTGATCTATTTATCTTCAAATTTCTTTTTTTAAGCTCACAAAATTATCAATAGTTTTTTTGTTTTTTTATTAATTTGCTATTGTATCAGAAATCATAATGCATCTTTTCTAGCTGTCATGTTCCACATGCTTGAAGTTAAATCAGGAAACAAGCTCTCCATTTGTGAACAGGTCTATTGACAGGATTATGACGATGTGGGTGTTGGAGCGGTCCTCCCCTCTCTCATCGCGTGGCAATAAACCCAAATGTCAGGTTAAAAATACCCGCCACAACCCACCACCATCACTACCACCAGTTCCTCATCAAACTTCTATTCTTGGACTCTTCATCCTCAAACTTAGAGAAATTCAGTCATTTTAGGTTTACCAACAAATAACAGAGACCAAAAAGTTTGAATCAAAGTTTTTTTTGGAGTCTCTCTCTCTTCAATTTCAATTTCTATTTATTTCTGAAGAAACAGAAAAGACAAATTGTTTGAAAATATAGAAAACAGGTTGTTCTTTGGCATCCATAACATTTAAAGTGTTTGCAAAACATTGTTGATAATGCTCTCATGTAGGTTCTCTTCCTTTGCCAAAAAATAGAATCACATCTCGTCACAGGAACAACGAAAGTGAAGAGAAATTAGAACATTGAAGAGATTAAAATCTAACATGATTTTCATGCTTCCTTTTAGAATCCATAGGTAGCCAAGATAGCAGTTGAAAGTGTTTGTGCAAATTTCCTGCTTATCCTACCTCAAAAGTTTCTTTGTTTATCCTACACAAGCAAAAATATACTGCCCAAGTGCATCTATGACAGGTTTAAAACATGATCATGACATGGTGATAACACACGTTGATATCAATTCAATATTTTTGACATGATGATAAATAAACAAAGATGTTGTTGATTTATGTAAAGTTTTCAAATGTCTGTATATCTCTACATTTTAGATATTTGTTTTCCTTCTATACAAATATATACTTCTTTTTCTCTCATGTTGACCTGTAAATTGTTTTTATGTCATCTGATCCTTTAAAAACTATGCACCAAGGACATAGAGTGTTTCAGATATTTTTTCCACTACCAACAGAGATATGGAAATAGATGGATACTTAAAAGAAATTGATACCAAAACAATAGCCTAATTTATAGAGAGAGCGTTTCTGCACGTTTCTCATCTACAAGATAATATGTACCTCTCCCAATGAGTAATTTGCTTTGGAATTTTGTTCCCATTAATATAGCTGCATTTACACTTCAATAAAAAAAAAAAACATTGGTTTTTCTCACATTCCGGTGTTTCGTCGGAAGAGGTAACTACCAATACACACCTCTGGAGTGTGGTCTTTTTAAACGCTGGCAGAAGCTTCACCGGGTTCGCAGTGTAAATGCTCGCTCACAAAACACCAGTGAATCATTCCTTTTTTTAATAATGTGACTTCCATGCTAGGGCGATGACAATTGCCTCATGCACACAAAAAACAACCAGAATTTTCAAAATGTTTTTGGGGCTGTGTAAATGGACCTAAAATGAAAGAATTATTTGATATTTGTTTTTAGCCTGCAGCCATGAAAGGAAATAAGGCCATTACATCCCAAATTGGGTAAATATTTGTTGGTGTTTGAGGTGTATGATCGGAGTTGCTTGAGGAGTAGAATGCATGCATGCCAAGTTTTTATCCTCCCCAACGGAACTCCCGTTTCTCAATG